CTAGGCTTAGCGGGAGAAGATCTTCAACACACCCAACGATGCCACGAGGATGGTAGCAACACCAATGGTTTTGATCCACGGAAAGGTCGACGGTGGTGGAGATGGCACGGAGGGATGACCGTTGATGGTCCAATTGTAATCCTGGAATTGATCGTCTATGACGTCCACGAGAGTGGAAAGTATACAGTTTAAATAGTCTTCAACAGTGTTGTCGGAGCCAAACCCGACGTCGAAGAACGATGAACGGGTGAGGTGGATGTCGCCGTAGACGTCGAGTACCAATCCGCTATCAATCTCGGGATCGTCCATACGTCATTGAAGTGGAGGTGGAAGGGCGTCGTCTTCTTCTCTTGGCTTCAAGTGTTATGAGCATCCAAAACTTCCCAAGGTAGAGAGAGGGGGCGGGAGCTGGAGTCGGCAATAGGAGATGGGGGAGGCGGCTAGGGTGTGGGGAGGAGAATAGGTTAGAAGACATGTTGATGAGGTTTAATCAAAAATCTGAAATTAATTTCAGTTTTGAATGAATTTGGAGGGAGACTCAATTTGAAATTGGATTTTAATTTCAAATGAGGTTATGATGAGTTAATGGGCACTCAATGGGGGCCCACTAATAGTGGCCGGCGGCTTAGAGAGAGAGAGAGGGAAGTTATGAAATTTGAAATCCAAGTCAATTGTAATTAATACATTGAATTAGCATTAATTGGCTTCCATCCTAGCATGGCCGGCGGCAACAAGGAGAGGGAGAGGATTGTGGAGAGAATTTAGGGAATTTTCAAAGGAGGAAAAAGGAATTAGGAAGGCTATTAATAAATCCAATCTATTTTGAAATTAGATTGGGATCATGCATAATACCTTCCTAATTAGGAAATCCAAAAATAGAAAGAATTTGAAATTCAAAATTTGAATTTCAAATTTGAATTATTTCCTCCCTAATTTCTCGTAGGGTGAATATGGAAAGTCATTAAAGCATTGAACTCACCATCATGTGAGGAATTGAAGGAGGGGGCCGGCGACATGAGCTGTATGGTTGGGATGGCGTCAGGTTGGGTGGGAGATGGGGTAGGGAGTTAGCGGGTTGGCTTAGTAGGGAAGACGTGGAGGTGGTTTGGTTGGGAGATGGCCGGTTGTGGGGGATATGGAGATTGGTGGGTAGGAGAGGAGGAGACAAGAGGTGGGTAAGAAAACAAGAAGATAAAATAAAGCCACGAGTCGCGAACGCTTCCAACGACTGGTGGGTAATGCACTCGCTCACCTTGAGCTCAATCACCCTTCTCTAGCTCTCATGCAAGAAAAAGAAGAAGCAAAGAAAATTTCTATTAATCAATCATCCTCTCATTACAATAGAAATAACCTATATATAGGTCTCAACATAAAAGAAGAAACAAAGACTAAATTGCCCTCAAGGCTACAACATGACTGAACTCATAATAAGGGTACAATAGGAAGACTCAAAGAAAATAAGATGCATAAATAACTAAAAATATAAACTCTGAATCGTGACCGTTGATCTGTGATGCTTCCGGCGATACACATGTTTGAACCTCTGATCGATGTCCTCATCATTAGTCCAATAAGGTGTGTACATCTTCTTTCAAAAAGAGTGGCAAATTAAACGCACGATAAGATTATTAAAAGGACTGGAAAGTTGATTATAGACTGGTTATACCAGTACGTATATAAGGAGTATATAATATTTTACATATTTCCACACTAAAAAATATATAACTAATGAATCCAATAGAGTCGTCACAGATTCCACAGACATACAATTACAATCAATGTATATAGAGGAACCAAAGCAAATATTGAGTTATATTATAAAACTACTTCACAATCGAGATATTCTTTGTATAAGAGTTTTGTGGAAGCATGAAATGGAAAGATATGTGAGTGGGAGAAGGAACCAGAGATAAGAGATATAATCCAAATTTTCAATTAAGGCATGATTGTTGTTACTTCCATCTTTCAATTTCAAGGATGGGATTTTTATAGAGAAAGACTGCAAAACCCAATTCATTTAAGAAAAATAATAAAAGTTGAACGGGCTAATGCCTGGTTCAATGAACTGACTCTTATTCAGTTCATTTAAAAAGGAGGTGGAGGGGGAGGGGAAGGGGGAGGCAAATGAGAAAGAGAAAAGTGAGAGACAGACAACAGGTGAGTGATTAAGAGAAAGGGAGCTAATCTTACAGCTTGTAGGTAGAACACAAGCATGATATAATGTGAGTAAGCGCAAAGGCATTTCAGTGACATTTGAGCCGAGCAAGGGTAAAGGCTGGGGATGCTTATGCTTACGTCTAAAATAATTGTTTGTTCGGAGGTCTGAAAAAGGATATTAAGATTGATATACCTTACATTATACAATTAGATGATGCTATTGTGATAATTGTATATATAAGATAAGATATGATATGGTCCTTTCACATTCATGCTATGGTGCACAGACACGGACACGGTGACACGGATACAACACAACACGGACACGGGACACGTCAATTATTTAAAATATATGACACCGACACGAGTTGGACATGATATTATAGTTTTTATATTTTAAAAATAGTATATAAAAATTAAATAAGTATAATTTTAAAAATAATTTAGAAATAATAAGTCATTTAACTAGAATTTGTGCTTAAAATGATTAGTTTTAGGATGTTGATGCAGGCAACTAGATTAGAAAGAGCCAAGATAGGAGAACACCAGGACTAGTAGAACATGACTCGATTCAAGACTTAGAATACCAACATCCAAACAAACTTCAAGAACAAACGAAAGTCAAACAAACAAAACAAAATTAAAATAAAAAAATAACTACCCTCGGAACAACCGGCAAGCGGTTTCCTCACATGCAACGAAAAGTAGGCAATATAAAAAATGCTTAGGGGCTTGCAAACCAAGGGTCCACCACTGTTACAAGGTCCAATGTCCACCAAAACTCATCCGGCAAATGCTACCAAATCAGCCAACAAACTCCTCCAATAGCTCAAGAAGAAAGATACAAGTAGAGTGGAACTTGCGGAGAGAAGAAAGAGGTTAGAAGCCCAAGACGAAATAGTGGAGAGGAAGAAAGAAATGGAACAGACTCTCAAGCTTTTCCAAAGAAGAAGAAACCCTCTGGTTTTTTAAGAGAATTTGCTCAAATAATCAACAACCCTTTATGCTTCAAAACACCTCTAATTTATAAGAGAAAAGGGGGCAGCCAAACAGCCAATCCACCTCCAACCGAACCAATCAAGGGGAAATATAAGGCCAGCATTTAATCCAGAAACACCACCCGAACAGCCACACAGAAAACCGAAAAAAAGACAGCCAAGGGGGAAGGAACGGACGGCCAGGTGAACCGGGATGGATGGCCAGGGGAACCGGGACAGACAGCCAGGGATACTAGAACAAACAACCAAAAAGGGGGAAGGAACCAGCCACGGGAAGAAGAGCAAGGAGGAAAAAACCGAAGGGCCACAGAGAAGGGAAAAAGGCAATATTCCACTCCACTTAATGAGCTAAAACAGCAGCTCAAACATTAATGAGCTAGAACAAAGCAGCTCCCAAGAACACAGCCCAAAACCAAGCAGCCAAGCCCAACCCGAGAAGCATCCATCAGCCCAAAGACCAAAGAACCTAAATAGCTAGCACACCCAAAATTTGCTAAGCCCAAGCACTACCTACTCATGATCGTTAGATGCTTTCCATTATAGGGTAGCATAAAAATAAAAAATAAAACTATATCATTCAAATTAAAATAAAAAAAAAACTAAAACAAACTGAAATTTGCATGCATCAGATGTCGAGAGTCAGGCGTCGATGCCGTCTATCAGTCACTAAGTGAGGAAATGAAAATACCTTCACTGCCAAAGAGAAACGAAAATAAGAATATTTGACGAATGGGTATTAAGTGCGGACGTTGATTTGGTGTTGTGGATAGGAAATGAGAAATTTAATTTAAATCCTGCCAAATACAGTAAATTATATTTTAAAAAAATCATAAAAAATTTAAGATACACGTGTCAGACACACGTGTTCAATTTGTATTTAACATTTTTTTAATCGAACACATTTTCAGCGTGTCCGACACGTGTTGGAGGAGTGTCGGACGAGTGTCGTGTCGGACAATACACGCCTCTTTGAGGAGAACTGTCGGTGCATCATAGTATTCATGTTATTACTTTACAAGAGAATGCTCCAAATCCCTTTATATTTTCATCTCTTAATAAAATGAAATGTTCTATGAATTTGTATTGATTATTTTATAAGAAGTAACATACATATTAGTTCTCAATTTCTTTATATAATTATAGTTTAGAATTATGATTTACATGCTGAATTAAGTTATAAGCTACTATTATTATTTAATCAATATTTACATGACATGATCTTGAGGATTTAATGAGTAATAGAAGAGAGTTTAGGTACGCAAACGTTGAAGCTACAAATGAAACATATTTACATATTATAGATGTTGTACAAACAATAGTAGAGCTATTATTATTTTGGAATAAATAAATTTTATAATTTAATGGCTTTTTTAATGTCTTGTAAGTTATTATACGAGAATTACTGAACAATGGTTTTGACATTATTTAATGTTAGCAGATGCAGTTAAGAACTTTGTAAGACTGTATATTTCCATCTTGATATTCTAAGCTCCCATGCCGGATTTTGACACTACATTTTGTTTTGAACATGTCATCAATAATTGGCGTATATGGCCTTTGTCTTAAAAACTTTATTCAATCCCTCGCTTAGCAGATATGTACATTCTAGCATTAATGCTTGTTGATATATATGAAAACCAAAAATAAAGTCTACATTCATCACGTGATGCATAAATGTGATGAGATAGTAACCAAATGCGTTTATGAATTTCAATCTAAAACTTTGCATATAATTTTTATATGAATATCTTTTCCATCTATACCTCCATAAATCTGAGCATACTATGCAGACAAATTTACCAGATAAAAAGTTACAATATGATCTGATAAGAGTTTCACAGTTACCTGTACAATGGCAACAACCTATAGTTCAATATTTCAAGAAGCAATACGGAAACACCAGGCTTGCTCAAAATTGATGGGGATCTTTGGGTCAAAGTCTGCAAGATGTGATACCTATTAGCATAATATAGAGTAAACTATAAATATTTTACAATAGAAACAAAAAAAAAAAAGAAAAAAAAAATAGAAAATGGGTAAAGGAGAAAATAGTATCAATGCACGAGAAACAATAGCTAGTTCAACCTAATAAGTTCTTGACCATTAAACCTTTTCAATAAGCTCTTCAACGCGGAAGTAAATCTATTTATTATTTCATTAATATTTGAGTCATTTTATGAAATTTAGTCAATGAGGGATACTTCAGTAAATTTCATTAGATTTTCAGCAATTATTAACTGTTAGTTATTCCTTAATCACTATTAGTAAATGTATCTTAAGATATGTAAGACAATTTTATGATATAAGACATATTTTATGGATCAAAGGACCCTTCGAATATCTATTCTAGGATTTTAAAATTTGATCTGATGCGAGACTTAAAACCTTTCCACAATAGCATCTTCTTGATCGAGTGTAAGAGTTGCTTATCATTTTTTTTTTTCATTCTTTTCATTTACTTTATTATCTTTGCCAGTCCTTTCATGATTGTCCCGCATTAAACTGGAATCGGAATATTGTCTTTGATACCATTAAGATTTTATCCTTCTCCATAGCAAGTATTTCCTTAAAATTATTTTATTGTGAAATTTATTGTTCTTAAATGGTGAAATAAATGTTAATGTGAATAGTCAATTGGTGTCACATGAACAGTGCACACACTTCGATTACTTTTTTCCCCACTAGGCCTCTTCTTTATTATTCAAGGACCATCCACAAAACCTACCTAATCTTCACATAGTTATGATGCACCGATACAAACACGAGAACAAGAATACAATACGACATGGACATGGAACACATCTATTAATGAAAAAATTAGACATCAACACACATTGGATGCGAAACTCTAATATTATATATAATATTTTTAAAATGATATGATAATAATACAAATTAAATTAATATAAAATAAATTCATATAAAAAAATTATTTCAAGTGTTCATAAAATAAAATATATAACTAAATTTCTTAAATACCTAATCACAATCGAAGAAGAAATTGTCACATGATATATAAATTATTAGCTTGATGGCGAAAAAAATTGATTCTTTTGTAAAAAAAAATAAAAAATAAAAACTTATATGAAAAATCATAGGAAAATAGATGAATTAAATTTATTAATTTTATGTTTTAAAATAATATAAAAGAGAAGAGATATATTTTAAAGTTAAAACTTATAATTCAATACAAATGGCAAATGCATGTGTCCGTTATTATTTTTTATGGCATGTGCGACATACATCATGTCTGTGTCTAATACGACAAACTTCATAATTACACAATGCCGATGTCATAAATCCTATTCAAATTAAAGAATTAAAATTCCTAACAAACCTCCATATTATCTCCTAACATCTAGTTCATTTCTCTTAACAAACTTACAAAATTTAATTATATCAAAATCAATTTCAAACGAACATTATCCAATCCCACAAAATCTAAGTGAATGATACTAAACCCACTGTAAACTCAATTGAAGATGTTGAATATTTTTGTGTATATATTTTTCTAATGCAGATCTAGGATAAGATGCACTAAGTCAAGCACACAAGGTCATATTCTAAGTCACAAGATTCAAATTTAGAAGATTATTAGCCATTTTTACATTAAAATTGAAAATGCATGAAAGCAAAACAAACAATAATTAAACATTAATCTAATAGAAATCTAGGATCATAAAATAATTACATGTTTAACAAAAAAATTATAGGAAATAAAAAAAGCATAATGTACAACATTTGAAATATTCAATCACGCAAGCAAGCTAGTCTTCAAAGAAAAACAGCATAAATTCAAAGCAGAACATCAAAGAATTTGTTTTTAACATGCTTCAAGTATTTTATTTATAATCACAAATCTTTAAAGATCAGAACATATGATACGCTACCACATCCAGTCAAGAACATATAAAGAATCAAAGATCACGCAAAAAGCACTGAAATCTTGCAAATATAGGGTAATAACATTTATGCAAATCCTAGGTTGTCAAATAGCATTTCAACACAAGTAAACCCCTGTAAGAGAAAGCCTCCTGTGTAAATCAACTACAATAGTCGTCAAATCACAAGTTAATAAAGAACCTTACGTTATACACTAGAAATTGAGGTGCTGAAGTAAAAAGAAGCTGAAGTCATATGAAAAAGCCGAAGTTTCATACAGGGCAAATATGGAATTCCAAACAAGGCCCAATAGCACGCATCAAAGCAAAAATGAAGGCCAAAACCATGAATAAAGGGAAAAACCAACAGAGAAATTAGGGTGACAATGTTAATTGAAACTCAAAGCTAGCAGGAAACTCGCTCAATTTTTTAGTTGATTCAAAATTGTTTCAAGTGATTTAAAGTCAATCACAACTCGACAAGCAAAATTAGAATTTATTTCAAGTTAATATCACTATAGAAAGATGCATGCATCAATCAACGAAAATTTCCAGAGTTTCCCAAAAAAATTTTGCTGAAAATCTAAGAGAAATTTATGGTAGAATTTTCACAAGAAATTCTACTCAATTCAAACAATGGAGATTTCAATGGGAATTTTGACAGTAACATGTTATATCACCAACCTTCCTAAATCCCCTCTCCTTATTTCCATTATTTTCTTTGCTTCAGCAACTACCTCTCTCTTGTTTCCTTCAACTCCGCCGCCCTTCTTTTGCTCCAATTCTGCCCAACTTGTAAAACCAGATTAAAATTTTTTTTGAACCAACAATATCAGATCAAAAGAACCCAAGGTGCTATTTTTATCTCATATTGAGACGCGAAGGGGTTGTAGTTGATCGAGCACGGAAGATTGCGGAAAAAAGATGAGCACAACAGAAAGACAAGCACAACAAAGAAGGAGATGGGGAGAGAGAAGGTGAGAGATCTAGAAATAGAGAGAGGACTAAAATAGCTACAAGCGAGCGGATGGCCAAGGGATTTCATGAGTCATCCGTATGTGCATCTAAGGGGGGAGCTAGGGATACTTTCTCTTTCTGCAAGCTAAAAGGTGAGGTTTAGCCTAGATTTTATTTCTAAATCAATAAATCCTGTAGAAATTTGTTAAATTCCTATATGATTTTAATTAAGCCGATTACATGAGGAAGAGATTGTTAGAACATAATAATGTGAAGGAGATCGAGAGCAGTCTCTCAAGTATACTCAGCACAAGATAAGGTAAGCCTAACCCAAAATTTGTATTTAATTAAACAGATAAACCCCAATTTTTGTTTTAAAAATATTAAAAATATTTTGTTTGAACTGGGGGAGTTGGATGTAGGCGATGACTTAGACATTGATTTCAAACAGAAAAAAATGAATTGAGGTATAGGTGATGTATTATTATTTTTTTCTCTAGATATGAAATAAAAAAGATCAATTTAGGATATTTATTATTTCATAATTATAAACCCTAGATTAATGTTCTAATAAAAAAGAAATTCTATCAGAATTTTAGAGCATAGGAAAAGAATATATCAAGAGGAGAAGATTGATGACTATGAAAAAGCTGAAGAATATTTAAGGTATGAAAAAATTGAAAAATTTTAAGAATGTTATCTGAGGAAATTGAAAAGCAAAGAATCATTTTATTATATATTTCATTCCCTAGGTATAATTTTAAAAGAGACATTTCAGGGAATTGTGGTGGAACAGAAAAATTGATCAAGAATATGGAGATTTGGGTGTTCTATAAAAGATGAAGGAAAAATAACAAGGTATGTGAATAAAACATAAATTAGAAAATTTATTTGATGAAATTGAAAAGCAATATAGTGCCCACATTATGTTAACACTTGATTGGTAAAAAACGTTTTAGGCTGCTCGGTGTAAAGGATAATACTTTGAGAGAAGAAAGAAGCGAATTCACAAATTTTGAATAATTGAGGCGACAAACTAAAGGATTCTACGTCTAAAGATCAATCCATAAACTAACAACTAAAGTGGTTAATTACATTTTATTTTATAGCAAATTTATAATTCTTATCATATGCTTGATGCATTGATTGACATGTTTATCTATATGCTCCTTTAAAAGATGTTACGAATATAACTTGTTAATTAATGATTGAAATAACCTTTCTTTACACAAATATTGTGTATTAATAACTATTATAATAAATGCATCTGTTTCAATCACATGCATTGTCAATATATATCTGTATATATGATGGATAAAATGATATTAAAAGAAAAATGTATGCCCATGATAAATAAAGGAATTCACCCCCTAAAAGTACTAGCTGAGAACATGATGTACTTGCACGCATAAAATGAAAAAAGTTTGGACATGGAACAAGTTCTACCTTAATCGGTGCAATTTTTAGATCATGCACTTGAGATATGTTTTATTAAAAGATATGACAGGATGAATTCATTATAAAAGATCATGCTTAACAAAATGATATTGTTTGTGCTTATATGAGTAGTATGCCTATTTAAATTTTTTAATTGAAATATTTATTTATAATGACTTTGCATATTTTTTGGGATTTTTACATACATAACACTTGAAAGTACTGAAAATACATATCAAACACCTAAAATAATATGTTTACTTATATACCACCTATTTCTCATACTTATTTCTATTCTAACACTCTGTTAGGTGTCCGTCTAAAAAAGCATCAAAAATTTTTTCGCTTGCCTCAAGTCGCGCGAGGGAAACATACCGGGCAGCTCGTTTGTCGCTCAGTCGGCGCTCGTTCGCCTCTCGTTCGCAGCACGATCGCCGCTCATTCGCCGCTCGGTCGCCGCTCGTTTGCCGGTCGGTAGCCGCTCAAACGCTTTCGCAGGCGTTGGCTTTCCTCCGCTCAAATCTGTAAGAAATCTTCTCCATTGCATCTGAAGAAATTTTCCGCTCGGTCGCCTCTGCTTCCCTTAAGGTTTTTTTTTTAAATTCTGTCAGGTTTTCAAAATCTTTGAGTTCTGTTTGAGTTGTTTTTTCCGAAATTTCTTACAG